ACTATGATATATATATATATATAAATAATTACTAAACGACAGACTTTGTGGCGACAATCAAGCAGAAATAGACTAAATCTGTGGCCAAGCAGTGTGCCGCTCTATGTTCATAATACACAATGCTACTGATTACCATAAAAACACATCCCATACACTCGACCAAGCAAAGCGTAAAACTCACTCACACCCGCACAAACGACCATAAATAAATTAAAATGACGAAATAAAGAAATTTGATAGATTTCACTCCAGAAAACTTAAAAAGGCATGTAGTGATTTGTTTTAAGCACATCCAATATGACACTGGAACTTTACTTGGACTCTAAACCTTATCGGGTAAGTATTTTCTTGCGTTACATATATATTTAACTCTTGAGGCTACTAATAACAAGAGTAACTTAATATTAAGCGTAGTTTATGTAACCAATTATCGTTATTATTTTCTATATGTTGTCACATATTTTCTGTGAACATGTATATATTTACTAACAAACTCAGGCTGGTTCTGTTATGACTGCCTGTCCTCGACATCTACTTATCAGAGACCCTCACTTTTTCAAAATCCATTAATCCCAGTTTTTTATTTCACTTCTTAATTGTACCCATTTAACCAAATTATGCCTAAGAAATTGCTTTTTAAAAGAGAAAAATGATATAGATTCGTCAGTATAAGTATAAAAAATATACGAAATAACGGAATTCTCTTCACGGTCGGCAATTCTCTTAATAATCGGGAGCCTGAGAAAGCATGGAATCCGGTATCATTAGTAAATTAGTGGAAAAGGCGAAGGACGAGAGAAATGATTCCTCCACTAAAGAACCTTTCATGAGTTTTTAGGTCAGAAACTGACACAGTGAATTCTCCCTCGAATTTATGTATTATATAAAAAACCTTTGTAAGGATCTACAACACAATGTACTGATAAAAATAAATGTCCTTAAATTTTGGGTTTGTAATTAGGACGAATGAATAAAAATTATTTAGGTAATATTTCGTTTTAACCTTAATATTTTACCTCAAATTTTACTATGTAGTACTTAACAAATGATGTTGTGGGAAACAACTACTCTCCGGACTAATACCCCAACCAGCGTTGAATTATACCCTATCAACAGTTAAGAACATTCGTCACTAGAACCACCAGACTTATACCGATTCCTAATTTATTTGTTCTCATCAGTATGTCATAGGTGAGACGACCGAAAAATGTCCTGTCTACAGACACAGCGAGATGTAACCTAAACGAGTGTACATCCTAAATGGTCAATATATTATTGAGAGTACACACCTGTTTCAGAACCACCTGATAGATATGAGCGTAGAAGGCCGCCAACAGCAAGGCCGGTGTTATGATGGTCACGAAATACAGGAATGCGAGGTAGTTCAAATCCATCACTTTAAGGAAGAAACAAACATCGCCGTCGGTCGTGTCCTTGTGCCACCCCATTAATGGTAGAAATCCTACCACTGACCCAGCGAACCAACATATACTGATTATCACTGAAAAAAAACATAAATGTTAATAAAATGCCGAAATATGGATAATCTAGCTGAAATGCCTAATTTTATATTATCTCTAACAAAGTGTAAAATCTCAACATCAATGATTTTTTTCAGAGTTATAATAATTAATATGTATTTACGTTTGTATTTCTAGCAAAATTGAACTTTTCTTTGAGAAACGAGTAGTTCTAAAGTCATGTTAAGTTTAATGAAATTCTTCGTAATGAAAGTTAAAAAAGATAATTATTACTAGAGTTCGGGGTTTTCGTCGGCTAATCATAGGCGTGTTCTTCGTAAACAAATAAGTTAACAGGTGGGTATAAATAAAAATAAATAAATCTGCGTACTTTGATTTGTATTATTTCTTTCTGTTATAGTAATTTATTATGTAGAACACATAAAAAAAAATAAATTTAAATCAAATTATTTTATACAGCAGTAGCTTATAAAACCATTAGTTTACAGCATTAAGTAGTACAGGTTGATTCAGTCATAAATCAGTCATTAATTTTAACCACGTATGCAGAAGGCCTAATAAAGACATAAAATCGAAAAAAAAATTACCCGATCTTTTAAATAATTAGCAAATTACCCTTTATCTCCTGTTAACTCAGTGTCCAACCTAGCAATAGCCGGCGAACTATAGAGCGTTCGAATGTTGAAGCGAAACAGCTGATTTCCTCGATCGTGTAGAATTTTGCAATTGGTTTCAAAATCAAAGTACTATGGACGAATGAATGAGTGTTTTTTTTTAGCCGTACTGTCATTTTAAATAGGTAGGTACCATACTACTATTTGAAAAGCATACAATAAGGTAGGTATACCTACTACAAACTGTAGAATTAATAATTCAACATAATACTAAAACTCACATTCAATGATAAAACAGTAACAAATAAAAAAGCTAAATTAATGACCTAATATTACGATAGGTCAAGATTCACTCTCGATAAACCTTTGTAGGTCAGGAGCTGTCCGAAAAGGGGTTTAAATAATGATTTGAAAATATTTTTTTTCAGCGTTAATATGCATTTAATCGCTTATTCTACTAATTTTTCCCTATCTTCCTTTAAAATTAATGACATTATAACTGAATCACCCTGTATATGAAAATCTTTTGGGAAGAAAATAAAAACGACCGTATTAGAACTTATTGAAAGCTCAAGTTTCAGACTAATTTCAATGTATTTTTAGATTACTTTATAGGAATTTATGTAGGTTCAGAACAGATTAGAGTTTGGACTCGGGTAAGGATTAACTGCAAATAGGAAGACTTGATATTTCGTTAACCTTATACGGATATTGCCCTCCATCCCAGGATGAAGGATTACCGTCTAGAGATCGGTTATACGTGAGAATTAACTGAAGTATTTTGCTAGGGATGAAAAAAAAAATACAAGTATCTGTCCATGCTGAAGTCAATACAGCCTGATTAGAACTACTCCAGAATAATTCAAATAAGTATTCAGTTAGATCTTTGTCATATCTTAATAACTGTCAATAGTACTCAATGTCTACTGTATTGTACCTACTGGCAGAGAGCAGCCTGTTAATATGTAAGTACTTTGATTGAAAGCGTGATTAGTGTCGCACTGGGAGTAATAAAATTGTTAACTAATGATGTGTCTTTAGCCACAGAGTGTGCTGCAATAGAAAATAAAATTAAAAGTTTTCTGCGCCATTTTTCATGAATTTTCCTTCATCGCTGCAGTTTTTGCCTGACATTGTGCCTTACACCTTAACACAAATTTTTCAATAACATTATGCCAGTACAAGCAATTATGTTCTTTTAAAATTATTTCAGAATATCCATTAATATTAATATAGACACCATTATCCTCTAGTTAAATTTGTAGTTTAGTCGACTAATGCTTCGAAAAGATCTTAATTGAATTATTATAAGATAATGGGACGTCAGTTTTAGCAATAATGAAGCAATTAGTTAAAACAAACGAACTTTGGCGTCTGTATATTTCTTTGCTTTAACGAAAATAAATGTATATTAATACTAAATAGCAACTAATAAAGGCAAAATATACTACTAGCAAGGTATGACATAATTTTGACAGACATATCATGACAGTTACATAAAAAAATCTAAATTCATTTCCAGTTTAAGTTATTCAAAACAAAATTTCAGTGAAAACACGTAACAATATAAAAAATGAGGGAAATCGTACACATTCAAGTTGGTCAGGCTGGCAACAACATAGGCAGTAAAGTAAGTTATCTTATTTTTTTCTGTCATCAAACCAAAATAAATATTACACTATCTATTTTGTTTTGTCTATCAGATTTATATGAAAATATATATTTACAATCGGCAAAGACTGAACTGGAAAAGATGATACCTACAGAGAGTTAAACTGTTAGCTTTAGCATTATCTCCTTATTAATAGTATAAAAAAAAGAAAGGCCAGAAACGATATTGAAATGAACAATGTTGTGTAAAAATGCCTCAATTTATGTTACATTATTTCATCCATCAGAGAGCAAGAAATATGCACAAATAGACATATAAGCAGATAATGAATGACATATCAACTTAAAAATGAGACTAATGACCACACACATTTCTATTATTAAAGAGTGTCCGCAAATTTCACCGACAACGTTTGACTGCATATTCACGACGATAAATAAATCTGATTTACGAAAAGAAATTAATTCAAAAATTTTTGGTTTTTGAGTTACGTTTTCAAAGTTATCGCAAATCTAAACATACACACCTGCAAATAATGCAATTTTTCTCAAGAATGGCTTCCTGTAGGCGACTTTCTCAAGAGACAATATTTTCTTAAAATAAAACATTTTCCATGTTGCTGCCTGTGGAAATCACTGTAGTCCGGTCAAATTAGTCATAAAAATAGTGGTCAAATAACAAAAATTCTGACAGAGCTAAATTTTGGTGGAGACCTTGGGTAGACCATTAGAAATAAAGTGTCAAAAGTCCCCACCGATTCCATGTGTGCTAAAAAAGTTATTCGGGGTCAAAGGTCAAAATTTTAGGTTTTTGTATTTTTTGCGAAAACGGTAAGTTTTATCAAAAAAGTAGCTCAGACAAAAATTATAGATCTGAAAATTATCTACAAAAAGTTATTATAATTTTTTTCTAAGAACCACCATTCCTGAGATATCGCGATTCTAAAAGTTGAAGGAGTCACGTTTACATGATAATATGCACATATATGCCACGTATATACATAGTCAGGCACTTAATGCAAGTAAAAATGCCTATTTGTGTCTCTTGTATGTATAATCTATACTATTCTGAGAATATACACTCAAAAGAAACTCAGTCCCTTAGTCAAAATGACGCAGATGTCCTTATAATTGAAACATCAACAGAACAATTTAATGCAACAAATACAACAATGGTAGTTGGTGAAGATGTTGACTTATTAATACTACTCACTACAAGGACTCCAATTGATAAAATTATATACTTTTTAAAACCTGGAAAGGCGAAACAGCGAACAGAAATATATTCTTCAAAAATGTCCATGTGTTTATCCAAAATGCCAAAACCATATCTTATTTTTACATGCGATAACCGGCTGCGATATTACATTAGCCATGTTCAGATGGGGTAAAACATCAGTATTAAAATTATTTGGAAAAAAGGTTTGATTGATTGCAGAAATTGATTCTTCACCTCAAACAATAATCACAAAAGGAATTCGCTTTCTTCTTGCTGTTAATAAGCGCCAAAAAAAATAATTGATTGTATAGATAAATATAGATATTTAACTTCTGTAAAAAATACACGAAACAAGAAACAAGTACAACTATCTTGTCTTCCTCCAACATCGGCTTATGTTAATCAACACTTGTATCGAGTATACTATCAAGTTCAGACATGGCTAGGCAATCAACTGAACCCAGAAGACTGGGGTTGGAAATTTACAGATAATACTTTGGAACCGATTCAAACTTTACTTCCACTTGCTCTAGAAAAAACCCTAAACACTATTTTTTGCAATTGCAAAAAAGGTTGTAGTGCTAAATGTGGCTGTAGAAGAGTAGGGTTACTGTGTTCTCCAGCGTGTACTAATTGCCAAAGCCACTCTTGCTCAAATGTCCAATTGAATACAACAGACGAAGATTCATGTGATTTCGATGAAGAGACAGCTGTTTCATCTTCATTTGAACAATTTATGAACATCCAGCAAGAAGAACAAGAAATCGAAGAAGACATGACTGTTGAAGTCGACTTTGAAGAGTATGAATCAGATTAAAATATCAAAAGAAATCAGAACTACAGTTAAAGTCAATAACCAATATCAATATCAATAATCATCATACAGTTAAAAGAGTATTGTCCCTGAAAATTCGGTCATAAGAGTTCGTGGAGTAGGCCTACCGGGGAAACCACGTTAAAAAAAACGCATCAAAGTACACTACCTCACAGGTGGTGTGGAAATGTGTGCATATCACGTAGAACGTGACTCCTTCAACTATTGGAATCGCGTTATCTCAGGAATGGTGATTCTTAAAAAAAAAGTATAAGGACCATTTTTGTAGATAATTTTAAGATCTATAATTTTTGTCAGAGCTACTTTTTTGATAAAACTTACCGTTTTCGAAAAAAATCCAAAAAAAACTCAAAATTGGACTTTGACCCCGAATAACTTTTTTAGCACACATGGGATCGATGGGGACTTTTGACACTTTATTTCTAATGGTGTACCCAAGGTCTCCACCAAAATTTAGCTCTGTTGGAATTTTCGTTATTTGAAATGTCTATTTTGACCGGGCTACTGGAACGTCAGCCAATTAGAGAAGCGCTTCCGAAGCATTCTGGCCGGGCACGTGCACAAGATGCACAGGGGTGACTTAATTTATGGTCAATTTTCTTAATTCATATTCTCGAAAACAATAGCATTTAGACCATCAGTTGCTTCACTAAAGTTTCTCATTTTCGTACCCTCTATCGCCCTTTTCAAGGAACTCACTTATTTCTGAAACACCCTGTATAATTATTTTAGTTCTGGGAGGTAATATCAGATGAGCACGGCATTGACCCCACAGGAAGCTTCCATGGAGACTCCGATCTGCAGCTGGAGAGAATCAACGTGTATTACAATGAGGCGACGGGGAACAGGTTTGTGCCTCGCGCCGTCTGCGTGGACCTGGAGCACAGCACCATGGACACGCTGCGATCGGGACCGTTCGGAAGACTCTTCAGGTTCTTATTCGATTTCAGTCATTTTATTTTTATTATAAACTCGGTTCTTTGTATCCCTACCGGCTTTTTTCTTATAAAAATTTATATTATTTAAAGGCCAGATAATTTCATCTTTGGAGAACAGGGTGCTGGGAATAACTATGCCAAAGGGAGGTATACCGAAGGGGCAGAACTAGCTGATGTTGTCCTTGACACGGTTAGGAGAGAGGCCGAAGGATGTGATCTCTTGCAGGTACAGTGAAGGCAATGGGTAACTTGCGTATGTTCTTTTATGCCCGTTTGCACCGTAGTGTTTAATCCAGGATTAAGTCCGAACTTGGATTAAAATATAACATTTTGTTTGCACCGTTACAAATCTATGTATTAATCTAGGATTAATTTAAACCCTCAAATTTGACCGCTTAAACTTGGATTAATGAGAAAATATAAATTGACACTATTGACAGTATTTAGCTGCTAGTTATAATTTTTTTAAATAGGCATTTCTTCATTTTCCTGTGGACTGTGAGTGGTGTTAAGACATCATTGAGAACTTTGAAATGGATTCAGATTCTGACTTTGATGTATTGGATGATTTTGATATTCACGAAATTATAGACTTTGGATTTCCTAGATATATTAGAAATGATCTATTTCATAATCTAGGCAATACGACTTTTTTCCACAGATTTAGGTTGACAAAATTAGATCGCATTACATCTGCTAACTTTAATTGAAGAGGAGTTGGAATATCCAAGTGATATGTAAGTTTTACGGACACGTCGGCATGAACACGATGCAACTGGCAATCAGAATTTTGGAGTTATAAAAAGCTTATATTCTTAACATGATTTTGTATTTCTGGGAATAATAGTGTATCTAATAACCAACAATTGGTTTTATGCTTGTGGTGGTCATTTGTTTGCTATTGCAGACTTTTCAGGGATGGACATATCAACAGTGTCCAGAATAATTGTACGAGTATCAATTGCAAGAGATACATAAAAATGCCAAACCCAGAAGAAATAGTTAATGTGCAACATGAGTTCTATAAAATTGCATAATTTCCTAGAGTGTTAGGTGTCATTGATGGTACTCATATTAAAATTTTGGTTTGAGAATTTGACTTTGACATATTTTTTTCCGAACATAACTGGACATAAGTTAGCAGCATAATAAAATCCCTAAACAGTATTCCTAAAGCCCAGTTTAAATGAATCTACAATCGGCAGTAAGCGGTGCAAAAGCTGATTATTAAAAGCTAGTTTTAAAATTAAACCAAGTTCAGTTGAACTTGGCTTAAATTCTAAACGGTGCAAACGGGCATTAAAGGCCTACAAATAATCCATAACCTTATATGGATGTTCTACAAGCTCTATGACATGAAGTCATATTTATTCAAATGCTTCTAAACAAAAACGAATCGGACCTACCTTCATATAAGAAAAATTGTTTGAAATCAGCCCACCTACCATCTGTCAAAGTTCATAGGTCATAGAGCTTGTAGAACACCCTGTAGTGCCCAAAACAAATTTTTAAACGGGTGTTTGCGGAGACGCTAATATGTGATGTCATTTAGTGCGATGGAGAATCGAGAAGATGAATGGTCGGGACAAGACGGGACGACAGACAACCGAACTCGTTTTGTTGCGAGGCTCCCCGCATGCGCGTTTTATTAAATTAAATTCCATCTCGTTTGTTAGATGGCTAGACTAGGCGGCAGACGACCAGGACTCAGACTGTTGTTAGTAGCACTAAATGACATCACAACGTGTTCTTGATCACGTGACAAAATTTAAATTTTTCCATAATTTTAATCTATAATAATTTGTATCATTAAAGACACCAGTGTTTTTACCACTGCTATTATGGGTTATAGACTACAAATTTGTGTTCAAAAAAATTATGCATTACTAACTTTTTCATGTTTTGGCGGTTGCGCCATTTTAAAATTATCTACTCCTCCGATGATTCTACAAATAGTCAATTTAATTTCAAAAATCATCCTCTCAATTTGATATTCGTAAGCTTTATTTCACAATGCGTTATTTATATCACTTGTAACTCAATTAATTATACAGGGTGATTCATAAATGGCAACCAAAATCGAAACCTCGTATTCTTTGGTGAATTTTAAGAAGAGTCTTTTCCATAAAGCTTTTATCTAGGACGCTACGTTAAAAAGATACAGGGTGTTAAACTTACTTCTTTTAAAATAATTTAAAATCCAGTAAGTGAAATAATTTGAAATTGGCCGCATGCGTTTATGTAAACATTTTGCAAAATCTGAGGACTTTTCCTAGAATTTACATGCTCCAGTGGCGGAGATACAGGGCATCGGTGGCATATTTTTCTAAATAAAATAGTACGCCACTGCTTTACGGTAGCAACCATGATATTCTCGGATTCTCCTTTTAGTTTTATACAAATTACTACTCTCTTATGTTTTTAGAAAAACTCCCGATAAAATAAAATCGAATAAAACTTAAAAAACGAACTGAAAACACACTTCGATATTCGAATAAAATGCGGTTTAAAATTACATACCTAGTAAGCTGCGATAGCAACTTTGACATTCTGAGCAGTTAGAAGAAAGAATAAATAATGATTTTCATCAGATTCAAGCAACAATAAATTTCGAACAAATTACAATTTCGTTACTAAAAAGATATCGCGCCTGTGTTCGTGCAAATGGAGGTATTTTTGAGCATTTACTCAAATAAAATCATTAAAATGATGACTAATGTTATTAATTTTTTTATTCGAATAAATAACCGAATGATTAGTATTTGTCATGTTATTTAAGTAAAAGTGTTTTCAGTTGGTTTTTTAAGTTTTACTCGAAAATCAGGCTTTTTTCGAGAAACATAAGAGAGTAGTAATTTGTAGAAAATAGAAAACGAATCCGAAAATATTATGGTTGTTACCGTAAAGCAGTAGCGTACTATTTTATTTAATTTCCAAGTTTAACACCTTGCATCTTTTTAACCAAGCGTCCTAGATAAAAACTTTATAGGAAAGACTCTCCTTAAAATTCACCAAAGAATACGAGGTTTCATGTTTGGTCACCATTTATGAATCACCCTGTATTTTAGAAAACGTTAATAATATTTCCGAATTTGTCAACTGAATTTCAGAAAACTCGAACTATGTTTCAGTGAATGTAAAATGATTTCCAGAAAATAGTGATTTGTGTTATCCGAAGCATCAACTTTATAGGATGTTAATGAAATACGCTGCCTAACTTTATTGGTGGATTTTAAGTACATCACAAATCAATAAAAAAGTTCCTACGAGCATGTGCTCGGGAAGAAGCATGGGCTAATGATTTAACTATTTTAATTTGCTGCAAGAATACACAATACACTATCAACCATTGACGGAGGAAGAGGGAATCGTCATTGTAAAGATCTTCAAAATTCCGACATCACCGAATATTTCCGAAATTGAAAATGTAATAAATTCTTCCATTTTATTAGAAAAAGGAACTTTTTCTTTGTAATAATCTTTTTTTGATATAAATTATGTCTAGGACATAATTGAATAACTGAAAGAGAAAGACGGTTTTTAGTTTTCTAAACATAACGCAATTATAAAAAATCCAAAAAACCGTTGGTGTAGGATTTTTTTATTTTCTGAAAAATAGTAATCCGCAAAAAAGTGTTACGCCAACTATTTTACTTCTGATGGCTCCATTGTATTTAAAATTACTTATATTTCTAACAAAAAATTCCAGGATTTTTTTTATGAGACCATTAATTTCAATTTATCGGAGTAGGGCGCATTTGTTTTAAATTTTAACAAATAAAAAATGGACCGATTTTCGAATGAAATGAGACATTTTTCTTTTTTGTTATATCAATCGCCATTAATTGAACTTGAATCATTTCCATCAGTTCTTCTCCGTCACTGGTTGCTAGATTGTGTACCCATTCATCTAATTTTTTTATTATTTAATTTAATTTATTACATAATTAACAATAATTATTTTTAGTTTAATTTTAATAGTTGATACCATCCCTTAACAGTAGACTAAAGCTTACAGAATAAAAAATAGTAATTCTGAGTAGATGCAGTTTTCTACAAATAAGTAGCATAAAAAAATATGTTGCAACTACTCGACTTAATTGTTTTTGTAACACCCTGTATAAGACAGCCCACAAATTTCCAATCCTTTACAGGGCTTCCAAGTGGTCCATTCAATCGGCGGCGGTACCGGCTCCGGAATGGCTTGCCTACTACTGGAGAAAATAAGGGAGGAATATCCGGACAGGATCATCAGTACGTTCACGGTCATACCTAGCCCAAAAGTATCCGATACCGTCGTAGAACCCTACAACGCCACGATGGCCATCGCATCGCTCATCGAGAGCTCGGACGAGACATATATAATCGACAATGAGGCCCTGCACGATATCTGCTACAGGTAAATGACGCGCAACTTCCGTATAAAACAAACGGTAGCCCCAAATGTAAAAAAGTTATACAGGGTGTATCTTAAGTGATGACTTTAATTTCAAGGGGTGATTCCTTGTCATATTTTAAGCAAAGAAGTGCATATGAACATCGGTCCGCAAGTGCTTCGTTACCGAGATACAGGGTGTCAAAGTTGGAAAAATAAATCGCATTTTCTTAAATATCTTTCGACTGATTTGAAATAATTTAATGAAATTTCATACACGGGGGATTTTTCGAAGGACAAATTCAAAGCTGTGGTCAATTTAGGTGTATTTTTTTGAGAGCGCCACCGGCAACGATTTCGGCCTCTTTAATCCATCGCAACTTTTTTCTGCTACCCTGTATGCCATTTTGGACTAGAATAATCGATTCTCCTACCTTATCTTTTTGTTGAATACAAAAATTCCTGTGATAACAAAATTCCGATGATATTTGGCATTAAAAGTGACAAGATACTGTCAGTTGCCTATCTTTTAGTGTGCAGTTAACTATGAATAACGTTGAACAAGCTCAAATACATTTCATTTATGGGCTAGCAGATGGAAATGCTGCACAAGCCCGTCGAATTTACCAGGAACGATTTCCCAATAGACCACTTCCATCAGAAAGAACTTTCATAAGGCTCCATGCTAGACTATGCGAAACTGGATCTTTAAATGCTCACGCTGAACGTATTGGTAAACCGAGAACAATAATGACACCACTACTAGAAGAAGCAATCCTACAAGAAGTGGAAGCTAATCCGTCAAGTAGTACGCGAAGATTATCTGAACAGTTTAACATAAGTCATCAAAGTGTTTGGAGGGTTTTGCACACAAATTTACTTTATCCGTACCACATTCAACGCGTGCAACCACTTTTGCCAAGAGGTTTTCCTGCACGGTTAGATTATTGTCGATGGTTTCTCCAAAAAACTGCGCAGAATCTCTACGTCTAAAATTCTGTTCACAGATGAGGCAACTTTTTCACGGGATGCCATCATAAACTTCCACAATAATCATTTTTGGAACTATGAAAATCCCCATGTTATTGGAGAACGTGGATTTCAGCAGCAGTTTTGGGTGAATGTGTGGGCCGGAGTTATTGGTGATCATGTCATCGGACCGCATTTTCTTCCTCCTCGACTGAATGGTGAGACTTACAGACAGTTTCTAGCTGAAACATTGCCTGGTCTGTTAGAAGATGTACTACTAGCAACCAGAAATGACATGTGGTTTATGCACGACGGGGCACCTGCTCATTTCAGTCTTGCTGTTCGCCAACATTTTAATGACACTTTTGCTCAGCGCTGGATAGGTCGGGGAGGACCTCAGCCGTGGCCAGCACGATCTCCAGACCTAAATCCTCTGGACTATTTCTTTTGGGGACATCTGAAGTCGCTTGTTTGTGCAACGCCACGTGTAGATGAAAATGATTTAAGAAACAGAATTATAAATTCTTGTAATGTCATACGCAACACTCCAGGAATTTTGGAACGTGTGCGACAGTCGATGAGCAGAAGATTACATGCTTGTATTGACAGTGGCGGTTCTCATTTTGAGCATTTGATTTAATTCAATTTTTATGATATTTCCAGCTCAAGTAAGTTTAAATGCGTTTTTCATACTTCATTATTGGCGCCCTCAAAAAAATACACCTAAAATGACCACAGCTTTGAATTTGTCATTCCAAAAAACCCCCGTGTATGAAATTTCATTAAATTATTTCGAATCAGTCGAAACATATTTAAGAAAATGCGATTTATTTTCCCATCTTCGACACCCTGTATCTCCGTAACGAAGCACTTGCGCACCGATGTTCATATGCACTTTTTTGCTTAAAATATGACAAGGAATCACCCCTTGAAATTAAAGTCATCGCTTAAGATACACCTTGTATAAAATCTAAAATTCTGGAACTGTTCGTTTCCAAAAGATAATTATATATATATTTTTTGTTGCAAATACGATTTTAAGTACAATTTAATCGTTAAAAGTTCAAACTATTAGCGTAGAAATTTTAAATTTTATGAGGATGGCAAGGGACAAATTTCTTTGTCACTGAATTTGTATTTTATTTAGATTTGTAATTATAAAAAAATCTATATATTTTTAGAAATATTTTCGATTTTTTCAACTGTAAAGGTTTATTTTAGGCTCTCTACGTATAAAATGGAAGATATTTTTATTCTTTAAAACACATTATACAAATCAAATGGATTGATACAATTTTTTCAGTGGAGTCGAAATTCTGAGGATTCTAATTTATTTGTTTTATAAAATTGTTTACAAATTCTGTGAATTTGTACTTTTACTTACATTTTTAGAAACTGTAACGCCCTGTATCTCGAAAATTAACCCATTTAGGTCATAAGTTAATGGAACCTTCTTTTTATTAAAATGAATCCTGCTTTACTCCTATGCTCACTTTTAATAAAATAAATAATAAATGGCGGATCCTTTATTCGTGAATAGTTTCATTCTGATATTGCAACAATGTAACGGTACGAAATTTGCAGAAAAAGAGTTCGCGTAGGTGTATGTATATAAAAGCTCACACATAATAGCTCCCAGCTCAACAATAAAAGCAATCTTATTGATTGTAGAAAGCGTGGAGGATCGTAAAATACATCGAAGGTCCTAGGGGAAATGTCAATTTGAATGTAAATAACTTTAAATTAAATTAGTTTGTAAAAGGACCTTTTGCCACTCTAAAAGTTGTAACTCATTTTGATCCGGCCCAAATACATCTTTATTTTTCGTATTCTAAAACGAGTAGAAATGAAGTTTGTCATTTGCAATTTTACTTTTAAGAAACTTAGTTTACGGACCATAATTTTAAATTTCCTGTTTATTTAAACAAGGTAACAATGGTTTTCATATAAAAGGAGTTGAGTCTTAGTGTCCTGATGTATATCTACATATTGTCCGACGTAAGTAGTTAACTCAGCTAATTGTGATAAATTATCCTTCGTAAATATATGCCAACGACGCTAGATGCTGCAAATACGTTTTTAACTACGTCAATAAAAAGTGCCATCAATCTCTCGTTTTCCCTTTTCATATGTCACTTGCTGTCGTTGACAAACATGCGATGACCATCTTTTTCAATAAGTTTTTACTTCGTGTTTAGGATAGGAACAACAAAACGAACTGTTGAAGTTTTTTTGCGCGATTGTTAGGGCACAGAATATACTTGAATATGTCAGTTAGTTTTTGAGACCATGAACGAAGTATATAATGTATGACGTAGCTGAAAAATTTCTGGGCTGGTTGCCACGTCGTTGGTATAGTTGAGAGACATATAGCTGTTATTCAGAAGGAAACAGCAACGACGTGAAAATCGTTGCAAGAGTTATACAGTCATTGACAACAGTCCTAAAATTTTAATTAAAAAATTAAGTTTTTATGTTTTTTCACACGATAGCACGTCTCAAATATCTTATTTAATCCACAGATTTCAATATGTGTATAATACAATTAAAATGGAGTTCCTCAGGATTTGCTTTTATATTGATGCAACGCTATTGCGGAATCATCATACTAATTTTATTCGTAAAAAAAATTATAAGCTTGTTTATCTTCTTCGAAATTTGATAGACAAATTTTTCTTACTGACCTTAAAAATGGCATGTCAAAACTCAATTCATTAAATTTTAAGCTGTTACCTATGGTATGGAGACATGCACAATCTAGTAGTAGTATGTATGCGGGCCAAAAGCTGAACGTACTAGTCCGGGAGGCAGCGACAGAAATTTTGCACCAATTCCTACAAAGCTGATTTTTTCTCATTTTGTTGTTTTGATATCGTAAGTAAACGGAACGGCAGTCTACCGCGCCAATGTGGGGGCAAACGTTAGTAACAATTTTTTAAACATGTAAATAAATAATACTTAAATGCCTTATACCTACAAGGCTGAAACTTTTTAGAGTGATCAATTATACCTAAAAATACAGTATAGTGATAGTCTACCGCGTCGGAAGGGGGGCCATCAAGGGTCTACCACCCACGCAAGGTGTTGAAAAATTAACTTTTTTGACTTATTTCTACAAGGCTGATTTTTTTTCTCAAATACTTTAGTTTATAAGAGAACCAAAAAAAAACAGTCTACCGATCATCTAAGGGTGCAAAGCCTTGATAGACGCAATGGAATGCACGATCTCCCGAGCGCAGTCGCTGCGCCGATTCACTGTAAGCCGCTCTGAATAATAACTCATACCGGGATTAAATTACAATCTACAAAGCTGCTTTTTTGTCTATAGATATCTTACAATAATTATTGTCAAATAAACGTCTTATACCTTCGATACGAGGTGGCTAAAGCTTCGGTAGACGTGGCGAAAGTTTTTGCGCGGAAGTTGCTTAAAATTCCAAATTTATTATTAATTACAGTTTTTTGAGCTTACACCATTATTTAAACGTATGATATAGTAACAACGAGCGAGCGTTAGCGAGCGAGATTTTTGCTAGTATAATAGGTATTAACAAAAGTTCAAAAATTTTTTTTTTCAAATAACTGACCTTTTTCTTTTTTAACATTGAATAATTAAATTTATTTCACTTTTACTTATAATTTATAACAATAATACTTTTCGATAATAGCGCGCGAAATGCTTGATTTGCGATTCATCATCACATTCGTCAATTACACTCGTGCGAGAATTATTCTATCGCACTAGTATCGAACAATATTTTACGACACTTATTTATAAAATAAATGATAACAACGCAAATGTTTTTTATTACAACAATATAGTAATTATATAAAAAATAAATATATTTTTCTTATTCCTCATCGCTACTGACATTTGATTCCTCATCGCCTTCCATATCATCACTATCTTCATCCTCATCATCTTTCTGGTCACACACTCCATCATTTTCTTTAAGGTATTGACAACCGTCATTTGCAATTTCTGTATCTGCAAATAGCAATATATTATTAAATATTTATTATATTATGCTAACATAAATTCACCCCCTTTAGGGTCTGAAAGTCATTTTTTAATTGAGTTTTAGACTTCCTTAAAATGCAAATATGTGTACCTGAATCTTTATCGTTCTGTAGATCAAACGTCACATCATCGATTGACTGAGGCAATTGGTCGCCACTAAACCAATTAAAATCATATCTTGCATTCTCATCCACTTTCCAGCCACAGTCGAGTGGGGATAATGTTGTAGGCTCTTTTAAGTGAGCATTACTCCAAATTTGTGCAATATATGCTGTTCGGAGTATGTGTTCTCGGAGCTCTGATTGACAAGGTGGTAAAGCAGATGCATCGAAACTCTTGACCTTTTGACGAAAGATTTTATCGTTAGTAGTTTTGTAAGCTTTCAAAAACATCACTGATCGATGTGACGTTTGATCTACAGAACGATAAAGATTCAGGTACACATATTTGCATTTTAAGGAGGTCTAAAACTCAATTAAAAAATGACTTTCAGACCCTAAAGGGGGTGAATTTATGTTAGCATAATATAATAAATATTTAATAATATATTGCTATTTGCAGATACAGAAATTGCAAATGACGGTTGTCAATACCTTAAAGAAAATGATGGAGTGTGTGACCAGAAAGATGATGAGGATGAAGATAGTGATGATATGGAAGGCGATGAGGAATCAAATGTCAGTAGCGATGAGGAATAAGAAAAATATATTTATTTTTTATATAATTACTATATTGTTGTAATAAAAAACATTTGCGTTGTTATCATTTATTTTATAAATAAGTGTCGTAAAATATTGTTCGATACTAGTGCGATAGAATAATTCTCGCACGAGTGTAATTGACGAATGTGATGATGAATCGCAAATCAAGCATTTCGCGCGCTATTATCGAAAAGTATTATTGTTATAAATTATAAGTAAAAGTGAAATAAATTTAATTATTCAATGTTAAAAAAGAAAAAGGTCAGTTATTTGAAAAAAAAAATTTTTGAACTTTTGTTAATACCTATTATACTAGCAAAAATCTCGCTCGCTAACGCTCGCTCGTTGTTACTATATCATACGTTTAAATAATGGTGTAAGCTCAAAAAATTATAATTAATAATAAATTTGGAATTTTAAGCAACTTCCGCGCAAAAACTTTCGCCACGTCTACCGAAGCTTTAGCCACCTCGTATCGAAGGTATAAGACGTTTATTTGACAATAATTATTGTAAGATATCTATAGACAAAAAAGCAGCTTTGTAGATTGTAATTTAATCCCGGTATGAGTTATTATTCAGAGCGGCTTACAGTGAATCGGCGCAGCGACTGCGCTCGGGAGATCGTGCATTCCATTGCGTCTATCAAGGCTTTGCACCCTTAGATGATCGGTAGACTTTTTTTTTTTTGGTTCTCTTATAAACTAAAGTATTTGAAAAAAAAATTCAGCCTTGTAGAAATAAGTCAAAAAAGTTAATTTTTCAACACCTTGCGTGGGTGGTAGACCCTTGATGGCCCCCCTTCCGACGCGGTAGACTATCACTATACTGTATTTTTAGGTATAATTGATCACTCTAAAAAGTTTCAGCCTTGTAGGTATAAGGCATTTAAGTATTATTTATTTACATGTTTAAAAAATTGTTACTAACGTTTGCCCCCACATTGGCGCGGTAGACTGCCGTTCCGTTTACTTACGATATCAAAACAACAAAATGAGAAAAAATCAGCTTTGTAGGAATAATTACATCAATAATGTCGCTGCCTCCCGGGCTATACGTATTATGTCTGGAATAGGCAGAGACGATTGCAGAAAATATTTTATTTATTTAAATATTTTGACTGTTCCATCCAGGTCCTTCCTCATGTAAATATATTTTAAAATTTTCATAGTAGAAACTAGTTTCATCTGTATAGCACTAGAAAAATAAATTACTTTAAAACCTACTAGATTTTTTAGACTTCAGAAAATACGATAAGGAACAGATTCTTTCGGAACATGACATTTCAAAGTATTACCTCCATATTAAGAAATATAAACGCTAAAGAATTTAAAACAAAAGTTGAAAAATAATTAATAAATCGTTCTTTATACTTTAAGTGAATTTTTTAATGTTGACTAATGATTTTCATAATAAGACTTCATGTAATTTTAAAATTGTTTATTACGTAGTTCATCATACCTTTTACAATTGAAAATAATTTTAATCATTTAATCTTATTTTATGTAATTCTACATATTTTGTTTGTATTTTTATTTATACGTAAATTGTTTTAATATTCTATCCAATTACTTTTCTTTTCCTTTTATGTGCGCAAACACTTCTGTGTATTTAGTACGAAACTGAAATAAACACAAATAAATAATAAATCCTGATGGCGTTATTTCATATTTCAGAACACTGAAATTGGCGTCTCCATCATACGGCGATTTGAATCATCTCATTTCCGCTGTAATGGCTGGAGTTACGACCTGTATAAGATTTCCCGGTCAATTAAATGCAGATTTAAGAAAAATTTTGGTTAATATGGTGCCTTTTCCCAGATTACACTTCTTCATCCCCGGATTTGCACCCCTAACGTCAAGGTAAATCTTAGATTTAAGTATTCCTGTTAGGATACTAAGTTAAGTAGCACGTATAAATAAATTAAGGATTTATATCAACCAGAGGTTTGGAAACATTGTTTTTAGTGCGGCTATTTTTTTATATTTTCATTGCATTAAAATAGGGTAGTCCTAAATTGTACCCAATATTTTCAGGAAAGTGCATACACAGCAGAAAATAAAATTACTTTTTTGTTTAAACATTTCCAAAATTTTAGTTTTTACGAATTTAAGTAAGGGTAAAAGTTTAGTAGACGATTATTATAGTAGCTATTAACTAAGTAAAAAAGAGATGACAACTAAATACTTTTTGTTGAATCGACTTTAAAAATTCTATTTCTAACCCTAGTACTATTTTTTTATGAATATTAGCGATTTTTTTTATTATTAAAAGTTTATTATGCAAGAGCAAGTGAAATCGAGAGCGCAAAACTGTAAATTTCTCTCTTTCTTGAGAATGCAGAAAAAATTATGAAAATATACCAGGAATGTTACATTTTCATTTATTATACAAATTCTAAACTGAAAGAATTTTTATAGAACACATAATACGGGGTATTTTAAGAGTGCTATTACTTAATTTATAAAAAATTACTAGCATAACTTTCCAAATAATATCATGGCATATGCAGAATTTACAATTTTGAAGAAGTTATAATTTTCAAATATGCGTTTTTTTAGTGTATACCTAAACATAAAAATATTTGAAGTTCATTTGTTTTCTTTAATTTATTACGTTTATCCACTTTAAATATCATGGGATTATGTCTTATAAAACATAAAAAGAAAACATAACTTTAAACGGAAACAGAGTTACACATTTTAAAATAAGTGAAAACAATTATGTTAATACATAAAAAGGCATAACCTGCATCTAAGAATACAGGTTTTTTATTTGTTGAATTGAATAAACAAGAGTATCAAACAAATTTTCGACGCTCTGTAATATTTACATTGGTTCCCATTACATGATTTGATATATTGGAAACGAAATCATTGCGATTGTACGGGTTTGAGGTAACTTACAAACATGTTTATTTGTAGAATGAAATGAGGGCGCTTTGAGAGAGATCTGTGAAAGGAGCTCCTCTGATTTATTACAGCTTTGTACAATTTTATGGATATACAATAGTAGATTGTATTGTTGTTGGAACCAGGAAGCTTTTGTAACTGTTTTGGGACGCACAATTTTTTTTAAACATAGAAGCCTTCTAGATGTACTTGTCGAATGAATTATAATGATCTAGTCAGTAAGACAAATTTTAAAAACAACAGTGGCGGCTCGTGACATTGAGAATAGGTGAAGCATGTTCATTGATTGACTAAAAAGCAAAAAAAAGCGCCGCAGGCGAAATTTTTCAAATTTTCAAGTTAAACGGCTTTAAATGAATTTGGAAATTTTTAGTTGCATTTGCAATATTACCGAAAAACTGACGTTCGCGAGAAGGATTTTCATTTAGATTTTATAAAAAATATAAATATTAGTTCGGCTTGTAGAGTTCTGCGAACATTAACGCACACCGTATATGTATGCTCCAAAGAAACTTCGTGGTTACGACAGCCTCGCGTGACGTTCCCAAAATTGCTAAATTCCTCCTTATTCCACATGCCGGACTTTACACCCACAATTAAACACGGCATACAGAAAAGTTTTTTTTAAATAAACACTTCCACACAACCACTTATACTCCGAATATCATTCATTCCGAAATTTCCGAACGTACACATTGTCTTTTGACTTCCCCTTTTTCCATATCGAGAGAATAAGGCACAGGTCTCTCACAATTTAAAAAATTCTTTCTGTCCTTTATTTTCCATCTGGAAAATTGCTTTTCCAATAAAATACATACATAGGAAACATTTCTACAATTATTATACAAAACAAATATTAACAAAGAACCGTTATAATCGTGGACTGGGTGACGTGTATCGTATAAACTGTTTAAAGGCAGGCGATGAGCGATGACAATGCTGCTTCAATTTCCGCGTCACTCATTCCCCCACGCCTAAGTTTACTCCCGTGTTGGCCTCGTTGCCATGACAACCGTCGTAAACAACGCTGCAAAGAGAAGCTAAATTTTGCTTCTGATCCTATTCAAAGTAAGTGTAGCTCTAGTTACCTCATATACTCCATTACCTGGTATTTTGCCTTCACTGGTTCTCGACTTCGTAACTATTGCGTGAAGTCTATCTGGTCTGTGTACATACATACAACATATTTTACCCAAATGGTATTAAATATTGTTTGGACAATTTTTTTGAAACTCTTAAAAGGTCTGATTTCTCAAATTTTCATAACTTTTGACAAATTTATACTCAAAAAATTATTACCTTAATGCTATAAGTGCTATTTGGGTGTATATGTATATTTTTAGGGGCGACAGAATCTACCGAAACTATACCGTTCCCGAACTGGTTCAGCAACTGTTCGACGCCAAGAATCTAATGGCGGCCTGCGACCCCAGGAGGGGGAAATACCTGACGGTGGCGTCCATCTTTCGTGGCAGGATGTCGACGAGGGAAGTGGACGAGCAAATGGTAAACGTCCAAGACAAGAATAGTAGTTATTTCGTCGAGTGGATCCCCAACAACGTCAAGACGGCAGTTTGCGACATCCCCCCGAGGGGTCTGAAGATGTGCGCCACGTTCATAGGAAACAACACCGCCATACAGGAGTTGTTTAAGAGAATAGGTAACGGATAATAAATTTAATTACACTGAGCTAACGTTTCTTGTACAATTTATTAAACTCAAAGTGAAAGTAGTTGTTTTCTCAGTGTATAACAATGATTAAAATTGTTTTCTCATCGTCAAAAAATTAATTTTTGAATCCATACTGTTTTAGGTGAGGCTTTTTCGGCCATGTTTCGAAGAAAAGCCTTCCTGCATTGGTATACTGGCGAAGGTATGGAAGAGCAGGAATTTAGAGAAGGTGAATCCAACATGATCGATCTCATATCGGAATACCAACAGTACGAACAAGCCAGGGCCGACGACGATATGACTGATGATGAATATGAATAATTAGAAGATATAAGATGATTTTTAATAAATTATTATATTCTTAAACCGTTCATTTAATCGCATAATAGTAAATAAACTTTCTGCTCACTTTTAAGAGTGTATTGCCGTATACGTAAATTTTGTAACAGTCTGTATGGATATTTACCAACTGATGAAGAGATAGTAGCAAGAATAGTTAGTCAACGGGGCATTGTGAACATTTCGCCATAATCCAGTATAGTATTAGTGCCTGCAAACAACGCCCTAATGGATAGCTTTGCTTGGACAATTAATGGATGTCAATATATACACAAACATATTGTAATAAGGGCCGTTATTGGAAACATGTATTATCACGGTATTGAATTTCATAATATTAGGAAAGTTTACGGCTTTATACATGTAAAACTTAAGTTTAATAACAAGTAAGATACCTCCACCAATTAAAATTACATTATATTCACTGATACATACAACAAAACTTAAGATGAACGGTACTTTAATCTTTTGTTAATGAAAATTGATATAAACAAATTTCAAACGGATATTACAAAAAGTTATAAATTAATAAGCATTTAATTTCATAACAAACATGATGTGCAGGTGTTGCTTGCAAAAAAGTTGTTAGCTGCAATACCATTTCTTAAAAAATTGAAAACATGCTTACAAGAATGTATCAATATACACCATCCACATGATAAGGCATTTGTTTACGTATGATTCTGGCAAATATATGTACATACATGTTCACATTCTCGAACATTCAACCACCACGCCATACTGTATTTGTTTACATTTGGTCAATATTTGGCGAGTGACTCATAATCTGGAGTAGGCTTAATACATTTTTTCGAGAGCATATTGTAATCATAGATAAACATATTAAGAGGGGAACCAGACAAAATATCTACCTAGTCACATGACTAGGTACCTCTCCTAATATGTTTATTTTTGATAATTTAAAATACACATTTTATTATGTGTTTTGCAATAAAAAATGAATTTTGAGAACACAGTGTCATCCAATTTTTAACAATGCCACATAATGATCTAAAAATTATACACGATTGAATGAGTCATGCACGAAAGTGCGCACATTGCCCCTCTATTGGCTCCAATATTCTTTGTGTTTTTGAGGTTATCGAAGATGATATAAATGCAATTAAAAGAATGAAGGGTAATTTTACAATGGACCTGATTTAATTCCTACATTTTTAATAAAAGTCTGTAAAACAATTTTCACAAAACCTTTAAAAATCATATTCAATTCTATATTATATATAAGGAATATCCACAAGTATGGAAAGAGTCACGAATTTGCTCCGCTTATAAAAAAGTTACTAAGAACGACATAACTAACTACCGGTCCATAGCTATTTTAAGTAACTTCTCAAAAATCCTAGAAAAAATTTTACACGATCGACTTTATTTTCATATTGAAAAATCAATACCAACATGGATTTATGAGTGGTCGTTCAACTACATACCTCAAATCTAGTTGAGGAAACCCAATTTATTGCTGATGCTTTGGATGCAGGAAGTCAGCTGATGTTGTGTATACCTATTGTTCCAAAGCTTTCGATCGGCTTGATCATAATTTATTGACATTGAAATTAGAGTCTTATGATATATCCCCTGCTCTATTATCTCTATTTAAGTCTTATTTTAGTTATAGCTACCAATTTGTGCAATGGCTTTCAATCATGTAAATTACATCAATATTCAGGAGTTCCGCAAGGGCCAATCCTGGGGCCACTGTTGGATTTTATTTTTATTAATGACTTAACTGAATGTATCGATGTCAACCATTTACTCTATGCGGACAACCTGAAGTTCTTGGGAGTGAAATCCTCTACTGATTGTACTAGATTACAAGAAAATCTTGACAGATTACACAATTGGCGTTCATATAATAATCTACCTCTGAATGTAAGCAAATGTAAAATTATGTCTTACAGTCGACGCAAAACCAATCTAGATTTTGATTATAAAATTGGTGAATCTTTTTTAAATAGAGTTACACAATTTACATCGTTTGACGAGCAAATTAGTTTAGTAACCAAATCTGCTTATAAGAATTTAGGCTTTATTTTGCGTAATTCTAAGGACTTTCAGAACGTTAGAGAAAGTACAACGGAGATTTTTTTAAGACTATTCATTTAATTAGTTATGGATTTTATCATTCTCGTGGTACATCTCAAGAATTATTGCTTTCTTGTTTTAATTTTAATAGTCTCTGTCTCAGGCGAATTATGTTTTCAATTACATTCCTTTTTAAAATTATAAATGACACTTTAAATTCAGATTCGTTAGTCTCAGATTTCTAAAAAAATATCAAAACGGGAAAAAGGCAGTGGCGTACCATTTTTTTATTAAAAAAGGTTGTGGCATTCTCGCACGAACGCCACTGGTGCAAGTAGAAATATTAGGATCACCCCAAAACATGCACATTTATTCCTCCAAAGCGTTTTTCAAATTTCTTCAAAACTGAAATAATTAATAAAAATAAAAATTTAGATTTAAATACTCGGAAACGAAGCATATTTCGACCTACGTTTATATGAACTACTTTTCACAAAATAACTTCGGCAACCACCTTCTAAAATATTTCGCACTTATTTACAAACACCCTGTATACAAATCTCCTTTTCTAAAATATATTTGAAGACGTTTGATGAAAAAAAAAACAAAAGAAAAGATTTTATTACTACTAACTCCTTATTATTATGGTGTTTCCAAGAAATATGTCTTCAAATTTATTTGAAAAACAAACATTTTCGAGATATTATTTTTTTTACTTTCTGCTGCGCTGAAAAGCACTTCATTAAACCTAACATAACTCTAGAATTAGTCGTTTCACAAAAATGTTTTGATAATTTTTTCTTTTAAATATTACTTATATCCTATAACAAAAATATAAAATTTCACGCCACTGATTTTTTTAACTTGTCATGGTTAGTTTGTATTTTGAATAGTATTTCTAACTACAAATCCCTTGAACTTTGAAAAACGAATAGTTCTTTACCGGAGGCTCAATATTATCTGACTGATCCATTAAAACAGCATGATGCGACGTATTACTAGAACCTGGAGTTGAAGTGTCATTGTAAAGAATCCTGTTGCTATTTCATTTTTGTTACTTAAACTGTCAGCAACATAACTTTCTGCATTTGTGGCTGATTTCCACCCACCATGTCTCTTGATTGCTAATGCATCAATTCTTGTATTAGCCAGTTGAGGATGTTCTTCGGAATGAATGGCCTGTATATGTTTCAAGATGTTCTAGTTTCAAAAACTATGCAATCTTATTAGGAATCATAGAAAGGTTATTCTTGCCGACTAGTTGGTTGTAACATTTACCTGCTTGATAGCGCATAAAAAAACGTGAAATTTCAGTTTTAATTTCCAATCTAATCTTGATATATTTCTTGAGAATTTCTAGGTGAGAAACAGAACCCAAACGAGAATAAACGTACGTGACACATCATTTTTAGAATCTGGAATTGTAACTACAATAAGCATAACTCATCAGAACGGCATGCTCCTGTAATGCCTAAGACCGTCACTACCTTCATTAGCAAATATGTGTTATCGGGTGCCTGAACGAGAAAATCGTTGACTTGTTCTCTTATAAAAACGTTTGACTTTTTAGGTTTATAGCCGTCATTTTTACGTTTCAAAAATGCGCTCAGCTTGGGGTATTTTGATATATCCACGTTTTTCTCTATCAAAATAGTTGACTTAATCATTGAGTAATCACTCCACAAACTCGCCGATGACTTTAAAGTTGAATTCTCCATGAAATATGCTAGCAGTGACATTTCAGAAACACCAGTATTTTTGTTCTGTCACCATTCTTTGAAATTTCTATATGCTCGTCCGTAACGCACTTTCGACTTTTCGGGCAATAAAAATTCGCAAGCAGCATTTGCTGCACTTTCTATTTGAAAAGCACTCATTTAGAAATAATAATTCAAAACCAGGAAAATTGCAACTTTTATGTAGCTTTATTTATAAACACCTTAGAAACGACAAAATCCAAACAACCAAGGCGACTCTGCAAGATTTCGAATAATGTCAAAATGAATTGATTAAGAAATGTCAAAAAATAAAATCTAATCTTTATTTAATGAACCATATACACCACGCAGCAGTTAAGTATAATTTACCAGTCTCGGATATTATTGCGAGCTCTCGCTCGGCTCCTTACCTCCTTTATGGTGTAAATAACTAATAAATTTCAGAGATGTATCAGAGAACACTATACCAACGAGAAGCGACAGAATCGGCGGTTCCTTTGATGTTTTGTGGTCACGCTAGAGTCGACCGATTTGACAAACACAATCGTTTACACTAAGAGAAGTTACACTTTTGAATAGATGTACACTGAACGAACTGCATCAGTATCAAACATTGTTCATATAATACAAGGATAATTGTGGTAAAATGTAGACAAATTAGGTATAATATATAAAATATATAAAACAAGATGTTTTACAACTAATATTTTTATTAAACAGATATATTTTTCTGCAATATTTGAAATAGTTTTTTAAAAATAGGTACCTGACAATGCAATAACTTCTTTGGGACAATCTTCCACAATTTTTGCTTCTAGCTCTTCTTGCCCATTTCTAAGTTGAGGAAATTGTATAGGTATTCCGTTTGGCAATAAGGTTATTCTTACATTCCCTTTACCAATATATTTGGTTTCGAAATGGTGTTCACAAAGCCTATAATTCTTATATACATCCACAATCCTAGGCAATAAATCGAGTCTATTGCAAGTTTCTATCCACACTCGAGCACTGCAAACAAAAATAAAAATTCTCCTAAAGATATTCTCTATACTTATGCAATACCATATTACAAGAAAACATACCACATTATTTTAAAAATCAAAATACTTTTTTCTGATTTACAGTTTATAGGTAGGTACTTAAAATAATAATAATAATAATTACCTTTCTAATCCTTACGTAATTTCAAAAGTTTTGATCCTTCACCAGTTTTGGATGAAC